TGAATATCTGGGATTCATAGTGTCACAAGGGGGGCTGCGGACATCACCTGAAAAAGTGAAGGCTATCAAAGAGTTCCCCCCCCAAAAACTTTGTTTGAACTTAGATCCTTTCTAGGACTAGCAAGTTACTACAGGTGCTTCATTAAAAACTTCGCGGCAATCGCCAGGCCCTTAACAAGTATCCTTAAAGGCGAAAACGGAAAGACGAGCAAATATCAGTCAAGGAAAATTAATATCGATCTTAACAAAGAACAAAGTGAAACATTCCACAGACTAAGAGAAATCCTAGCGTCAGAAGATGTTTTACTTTCCTATCCAGACTTTAAGAGACCGTTCGATTTAACAACGGATGCGTCAGGCTTTGGTCTAGGGGCGGTACTATCGCAAGACGGACGCCCGATAACAATGATATCACGAACACTACGTGATAACGAAAAAAACTTTGCCACCAACGAGCGAGAACTCCTCGCCATAGTTTGGGCACTTAAAAATCTTCGTAATTATCTGTACGGAGTAAAAGACTTACGGATCTTTACCGATCATCAGCCTCTAACTTTTGCTGTCTCAGACAAGAACCCTAACGCGAAATTAAAACGATGGAAAGAGATTATTGATGACCACGGGGCAAAGCTGATTTATAAACCGGGGAAAGAAAATTTCGTAGCAGACGCATTATCTCGTCAAAATATAAATGCATTGGAAGATACAGTAGAATCTGACGCGGCTACCATGCACAGCGAACAATCCTTGACCTACACTATAGAAACAACGGACAAACCGGTAAACTGTTTTAGGAACCAAATAATAATTGAAGAGGGGAACAGTTCATCGGTAAGCACACTCATTTTGTTTAAAACCAAGGTGAGACATATAGTAAACATTTCGGATCATGACAATTTGCTAAATGTGTTACAGGATGTAGTTAATGCCAATGCAGTGAACGCAATACATTGCTCGCTCCCAATCCTGGCAAAAATCCAGCACCGACTAGTAGAATTGTTCCCAGGAACTGTATTTAGACACACGAAATATTTCGTTCAAGACATAACGGACAAAAGCGAGCAGAAGGAAATTATATTAACAGAACACAATAGAGCCCATCGAGCGGCTCAAGAAAATGTAAAACAAATTTTAATGGACTACTTTTTCCCCAAAATGCTTAATTTAGCCACAGAAATAACCTTAAATTGCAAAACCTGTTCTATGGCAAAATACAAACGCCATCCATCCAAACAGGCTATAGCACAAACTCCAATACCAGGTTATGTGGGAGAAATTCTCCATATCGATATCTTTTCCACAGACGGAATCCTCTTTCTTACGTGTGTCGATAAATTTTCTAAATTCGCCACGGTGCAGGCCACCGCATCAAGAGCTATTGTCGACATTAAGGCCCCTATATTACACATAGTAAACTTTTTTCCAAATATAAAAACAATTTATTGCGACAATGAAAGGTCATTAAATTCCGAAACAATAAAATCAATGTTATTAAACAACTTTAATATTACTATTTCGAACGCACCACCTCTCCACAGTACCTCAAACGGCCAAGTGGAGAGATTTCATAGCACCTTGGCAGAAATAGCCCGATGCCTAAAAATAGAACACAATCTGAACGACACCACCGAGATAATCCTTTTGGCTACCAACAAATACAATAAATCAATTCATTCGGTAACTAACGAAAAACCCATAGAAATTGTCCATTCCAAGCCCTCAGAATTTGAAAGGGAAATTAGCAAGAAAATCCAACAGGCACAAGAAAAAACTCTCGACCAAATGAACAAAGATAGGACCCATAGGAACTATCAAGTCGGCGAAAAAGTTTTTCTGAAAGCAAATAAACGATTAGGAAACAAGCTTTCGCCGCTATGCTCAGAGGGAATCATTGGAGCAGACCTGGGGACCACGGTTCTCATTAAGGGGAGGGTGGTCCACAAGGACAATCTTCGATAACGATCCTTACTACGTTTTTAGTTATTCTATTCTTTTCATATTATTTCTAGGTTAAGACAATATCTTTTTATCTTGGCACTAGTGGCTGTTAGGACAGACGCGACGGTTAAACTCAACGACTACACGAACGCAGACTATATCCCGATAGAAGACAACGACATCGTAATCTGGGAGACTTACGGATACTTACAACACGCAACGAACCTGACAACTTACGAGGACTACGTGGACCAGACAGAAGCAATGACGAAAACGTTCACTGACGATCACAGGACTTCGGTAATATTAACGGACCTCCGACACATTCGCAAGTTGGTAGCTACCTTAAAAATCCACAATAGAGCCGCTAGAAGTATTAACGTAATTGGAACAGCCCTCAAAGTTATTGCAGGTACGCCTGACTTTAGCGACTGGGAGCAGATAAAAATCAATCAAGAGATTTTAATGAGAGCAAACGAGGGACAAACAGATTTAAATATCAAATTTCAAGAACTCTTAAATGAACTCGCGAACGCGATGAATGAAATTCAAAAATTCGATACAGAAAAAGAAACACACCTTTTGGAAATTATTTTGGCAAAAAATAGAATCGTTATCACAGATTTAGAAAACATTCTTATGGGCTTAACCCTGGCAAAAATAAACATTGTTAGTCCGGCTATCCTGGATAGCACTGACATTGGCGAATTTAAGGACAAACAGCCTATTAACATTAGTCTTGTAGAAATATTAGAAGTATCTAGCATAAGTGTCTTCCAAAATTCAGAAATTCTTCACTTCCTAATTAAATTTCCAACTCCTAAGTTCGTATGTAAGAAGGTAACGGTCTACCCGGTCCAGCACAACAACAAGATCCTAGACTTTGAAAACGGGAACTTAGTCGCCGAATGCCCAACACAGAACCTTAACATCGGCTACTGTAAAGCGACTGTAGGCGCCACCTTCTGCAAGGAACTACAAAACAACACTTGCGCACAGCAAATCGTTTCCGGAACCACTGCGCACTGTCTCACGCTCCCGGGTCACCTAGAACCGGTTACAATAGTGGATCATGGTACCCTCATCATCAACGACGTTAACGCAACCATTACCGATGATCAGGGCCGAGACCAGGGAATATCGGGAACTTACCTGGTGACGTACTCCGACAGGGTAGCCGTCAATGGAACCTGGTTCATAAACCAACTGGGAAGCTCGAAGAAGAAACCTGCAGTATCAGCTATGACCGTAGTAAACATCACTGGTCATCATAACCGGCTAAGTCTTCCATTTCTTCATGAGCTTAGCCTGAGGAACCTCCACCACATTGGAACCCTTAATGAGCGGTATTCGATGAGATCCTTCCTCAACAATTCTCTCATCATACTAGTCGCCATCCTGTTATGCTGCACTATCTGGGTCGGCAAACATTATCTGAAGAACAAACGTCTTGCCAGATCAAGGGCTGCCGATGACATAGAACAGACGGGTCACCGGGACGGCGACCATTTAAAGGAAGGAGAAGTTAACACGCGCAAAAAGAATTTGGAAAAATTGCCAAATTGCAGACCGGATCCGACGGCCAACACGCGCAATGGCGAAACTGCTGATCGCGCATTCCCAGGGCAGTTGCCCGAGGCTCGGTCCCAACACGCCTGCAGCGAGTGATTGTCGCTAGCTGGATACGGAATGCTGACATCGCACTTAGGCGACTGCGCTGCAGCGCAAATAAGGGCTTCATGGTGCGACCGGGACAGACCTTTAAGTTAGTTTAAAACTGAACTCCGCAGCTATAGCTGGCGATCAACATTATAATTAACAATCCATTGTATGAATTAAAATATCTTTGGCTTGAAAAGGCTTAAGTGAAATAAAGAAATACCTTGGTATCTAAATAAATAACCACAATTAAATAACTTACATAATTTCTCTCTCTCTTCTAAATTAAAAAGAAAATCCTCTAAGTTTTATGGTAAGATAACCAATTTTAAGAAATATTTTTCTATTTTTTAGTTTTTAAAAAGGAACGCCCTTAATTTTAAAACGGCTACGAACGGCTCATTTATTTTTATTTTCGATAAAATTAAATGTTGTACTTTGATATGCTTATAAAATAATTAATTGACATTAACCGTATCGTGTAAAAAAATTCATGAAAATAGGCCTTTTTTTGCCCGAATTAACCATAAAGGTGTTTTTTTTACAATTTTAGTATAATAATCAGAACATAACGGTTTGGGTAGCTGTTTTTTTGAGTGAAGCTGTGTCTGCAGCAGATCAAGAAGAGCGAAGCATAACAGTCAGCATAACATTCTTGCAGAAGTTTTTTTTTTTGTAATATTCTTATATTCTATTTCACAAGATTTTGACTTTGTTCTCAAGAATTTAGGAAACATGTGCGGGCGATAGTCAGTAAACGTAAGTAAAAGCCGTTGCTTGCAGCTTCTGTGTAGATCAACTTTTAGTATTGAACATGGTTTAAATCGAATTGTAGGTGAATAAAATTGTACGAAAAAGGAGTGGCTTTTGATCGGGCTAGACAACCATCAATCTGCCCCTACATCGATAAAAGTCCCCGACCTCGGTATAGCTAGAACAACAATCACACGCCGCATTCCATGAAGGGCAGTTGGCCAAACGACAAAAATAGCTATTTAATAGTGATTTGCATTTTAAATTTCTAACTGTTACGTTTTCTAATAGCTATTAATGCTACTAAAATTGAAAAAATGGTTATTTACGACTCTGGTAATTATAAATATATGTCAGAATTTAATGTTTTCCGCTTGCGCCATATCGAAAGAGTTGTCCTTAGTACTTAAAATAAGATAACACGCTCACGCCATATCTTCCTCTTGTTCTGTAACATTTTCAGAAAGCAATTATGTCACGTTACTGTATTATTTTTAATGGGTTTATACGTTGTGTTTAACATGATTAGGGGTTTGTATCAAAATCTCCTGGTTAATACATACACTCGTACATCAAACGAAAATAAACTTCAAAAGCTTAATATAAATATTGCACAAGTGCGAATGTAAGTGCGGCCAGTTTCTATAAAACTACAATTTGGCGCGCTTAAGGTAGTCCTTAAAATTAACATCTCGCCACCAATGGAGGCGCTCGTATACACCTGGAGTGGAAACAATCGTGCGTTGAAGATGCTGGTAGACCTGCAGAAAATTTAGATTTGTTGGCAAGAGAAGGTATTTGTTACAAGAGACCACTTACATTTCCATCGCTCATTCCCAGGGGTGAGTTTAGAATAAAGTCAGAGGGGGCAATGGCATCCACCAGAGCAATGGCTTCATCCTTCAGAAGGGGAAGTAAACCCAAGATGCCCTGCTCGTACAGGTCTAGTTGTTGCGAGTTTTCGCGAAAATAGCCACCGCGGTAAAAAACAGCAGAGTACTTAATGACCAAATGTGCGCCATAGAAGGAGAGTACCTGCTGCAGCACCTGCTTCTCAGCAGAGTCGGGCAGGCTGCGCACAAACTTATAAAACACGTAGTAGATGGTACGCTAAAAAATTCCCATCTCGCTTAATATTATTCTCAAATCTAGAAAAGGGTTAGGCTTCTCACCTCGCCGTATATTATAGAAAGCTTTTGAGCAGCAAAGACCTGGATATTGTTACGCGTTTCAAACGCATCCTTCCCATTACGCTGCTGTTGCTCGACCCGTTTGACCGTTGTTTCCAACTGCCAGGCGGTAAGCCAGTTAAGCGCTTTTAAAAGATCTACAAATAAGATAAAAATTTTAGGAATTAACATGGCGGTGTCTCGTGGCAGGAAATAAACTTCAAATACAATTTGAGAAAATAAGAAATAACTTAAATGTACGAAATTTATGTGATACATAATATTTTTATCATTATAATAGAAAATGCTAACTTATAAATATTTTAAAAACAACTCCCTATTCTTTGAGCTATGAGTTACAGTCAAATCACTGGATGGATATGGCTCTGAGACATTATACTATTATTTTGGTTTAAAAACAGCGAAATATTCCCATAATTAAAGATTTTTTTAACACAAAAAGCGGAAAAAAACATAAATTTGCAAAGTTTTATGATGTGTGCAAAGTTTTTACACTGCTCAAAAAAACTACACAGAACCAATAGGGTAATATGGCAGATATAGGATAGTCATTAATAAAACCCAAAGAATAAATCCGAATAGAACACAGAGCACATAATGGACACTGTGGCAATATGTAATGAAAGTGCAGCTGCCTAAATACCTAGCACGTGCTATCAACGTTTTGGTTCGGTCGTTAGTTTTCGGCAACGCCACGCCGTTTTGTCGATAGAATATGTTGGATATTATTGCAATTCCTGTATTATTTTGAAGACTTTGAACTGAACCTGTTAACACTTCAAGAATAAAAAACGTCAGAAGTCACAAACATATAAAATATTGATAAAATACTTTCAAAACAAAAACAATTAACTAATAACAACATTAGCGTAGTAAAATATTGCACACAAGCAACTAAAATATTTAATTCACTGAATACAAGCAAAAGAACAATGCATCGAAATGCACCTAATGCTGCTCTTATTCCTGAGTTTTTGATTGGTAGGTAGTTAATTAGGCGTGAGCAGTTTTAGTAATGTATCAATAAGGGAAGAGGTGTTAGTGTTGTATTTTTGGGAAGAGAGGTATTTGATGATGTTTTGGGGTTTGCATTGGCTTTCTTTTAGTTTGTTTATGTGGGGCGATCACTTGTATCTATTGTTGTGATGATGAGGCCTAGGATTTTTGTGGTGTTAGTTTCTGGGATATTGACGGAGCCAGTATATATATTTTGTCTGCAGTTGCGTTTGCGACATACGTGTAGTTGTTGACATTTTTTGACTGAGAGGGAGGATCCTGAGTTAGTACATCTTTCGTTAATTTGTTGGAAGACGGATGTCAGATTTGTGGTTTTTTATTTTCTGTATTGTGTTTGATATTTCTGTGAAAATCGGCGTGGACAGTGAATACAAATTGTCTTGGGATGGAAATAATGTTAGCAAGGGAATTGAATTCAATTAGGAAAAGGATAACTGATATGGGGAAACCTTGTGGGATACCGTTGTCCAGTGGGAAAGGTGCTGGAAAGCGATACTATTTATACCCATTACTCGTAGAGTAAAAGGGTATATTGTATTCGTGCAAAAGTATGTAACAGCTAGAAGGAAGCGTTTCCGACCCTATAAAGTATATATATTCTTGATCAGGGTCACTAGCCGAGTCGATATAGCCATGTCCGTCTGTCCGTCTGTCCGTCTGTCTGTCTGTCTGTCCGTATGAACGATGAGATCTCGGAAACTATAAAAGCTAGAAGATTGGCATTTCGCATGCAGATTCTAGAAGTTCCTACGCGGCGCAAGTTTGTTTCAAAAAGGTGCCACGCCCCCTTTAACGCCCACAATCGCTTATATACGATTTTAAAAATTTAAATATTTAGGAAAAGTAAAAATGCAGTTTTATTGTGTTTATCAGTACCTATCGAAATGTAGAAATTTTTCAAATCGGACCATTCGTTAAAAAGTTATGCGTGATCAAAGTTTCTATCTCCATCTCCCTCGCACTCCCTTTACTTGAGTAACGGGTATCTGATAGTCGGGGCACCCGACTCTCTCTTGTTTTTTTATTTAACGATCATCTTTCTGTTTATGATCGCAAAAAACAAGAAATTCGCCATATTTTTGTCTTCAAAGGCATCGCACCTTGAATTTGAAGGTACATTTTTCCAAAATAAAGGGCGTTCCTTTCTAAAATCTAAGGCAAAGGGCCCTAAAAACAGTAAAAACTTTTCTTAATAATAGAAAAATATTTCTTAAAAGTAGGGCATCTAACCATAAATTTTAGGGTATTTTTTCTAAAAATTAGAAAAAATGTGCCTACATTCCATCATGATGTAATTTTTCATTCAGGATTTATGGACTTGTGTATATTTATGTATGTGTATACCATATGTATATGATTTAAGCACTTCGGTTTTCGTTCAGAAAAGTTACAAAGTTTGTATTAGTATTGCACTTATGAATTGCCAATATCGATTTCAACTGTAATTCCGTGGGGAAGAGAAAGAAATTGTGAACAATGTTCTAAAAAATAAAAATGAATCCCAAAACATAGAAAGACTAGAGCAACAGCCAACGCGATTTGAGATCGTTGCCAGAATCAACGAAATGACGAATGTCTTGCCTGTCCCACCAGGAGCATCGAGAAAGTATAAGCCTCCCGTTTCATCGTCAACAACCTGCATTATCGAATCGTACACGTTCTTCTGCTCGGCATTCAAAAGAGGCACAATTGTTCGGACTCTTTTGGCCAGGTTAGTTTGATCAAAGTGGTGCTCCCGTTGAAACTCGCGATTGAAAGCATCGTGCATTGAACGATTTGGCGCTGGCATTCCCAATGTCGCTAGTAGACTGCCGCACATGAGCATGCAAATGTTTTCAATCTGTATCAACGCTTCGTTGCGCATTTCTTCGCTAATGGTAAAATTATCAGTTGTCCTGCGAACCATGTGGTCCTTATAGTTGTCCCACAGTGCGGTCGGGTTCGACGGATGATATGTGGCTATGATTATTGCAAATAATGATTCGTTGACGCAGAAACAATGGCATCGGCGAGCGTTGAATCCCAATGAGCATCGTTTTCGAGCAAATTAAAACGTTGGCAAGCCTCCCGAAAACTGGCGCACAGCACACCATCCACAGTACGCCGGGACTCGAAAGATGTAGGGCCTCTAATGTTCACCAAAAGCAAGCGAAGATAGAAGCATTCGTCTTGGCGTGGATGAACTGTGTATATTCGTCCGAGCGCATCAGTCGAATAGTCACCAGCGAAGCCAGCAACAGCATCACCTTTCTTCCGGCGTTGAAACTTCTTCGATGCAGCGTTCCATGTATAATAGCGTGGCATCTCTGAATAGAGTAAAGTCCTTGCAAATGGATCGCTTTCCCATGTCGAAAAGAAATTTGTCAACGTTGTCGCTGGTGGCCGTTGTGCTCTTTGCGCTGCGTTCGCGTCCGTAAAGTAGACACGCTGGCCGTTCACCAAGTGAACAGATAAGTGCACGACAGTCGCGTGACGTTCATGAATCGGAAATGAAAATAGCCGCCAAATGGCCTCGTTACAACTAACGTAGCGTCTAAGCTAAAATTTCCTCACCTCATCGTTTGCATTCGGATCAGCAATGCCAAACACCGCCATGTCGCTCCCTTTGTTCACATATTTGCAGACGTATTTGATGGATTTGATGGAGTTGCAGTACTCAACATTGCAATGCGTTGAGAACGTTTTCGACAAAAGCGGGCAATATGGAACGATCCAGCGGTTATCCACGATTACTGTTACGTTTGTTTAGTTACGTTTCACCATTACTTCGATCCATTGCCGTTGTCATCTGGAGAACGACGCCTATACAATGGATATCCATCGTGTCGTTTTGTGCAGTTTCTGTTATCCATGCATACTGATTCTGGGTTGTGGACTCCGCAAGGGCCATGGATCATTCTCGTTGTCACAATGGAATGCAGCTCGGTATCAGTTTGTTTATCTGGTATTTCGGCTGAAATAATCGAATCAATTTGATCTGGTCGGATCTTGTCGAACATCCAAAGCAGAATGTGCGCATGTGGTAAGCCACGCTTCTGCCACTCAACCAAGTACATCCAATAACAAACTGCGCCAAAAACCTTCTGCTTAACGATGTAATTCATAAGTACTGTGATCTTTTGCTTGAAGTAGATCTGAAGGAATTTATGATCTTTGTTTGGTGGTGGTAACAAAGCGCCCGCTCGATGTTGAATTTGCCCTTGAATCTGAATGTTGGAATGCAAATTTGAAAAAAATGAGAGTTGGTCATTCTGATAATAAAGATGTGAGGCACCGTAAAAAGCTGCCCCACATCCAGCGGGTAAAATGTACATAATTCCCACAAATATTGGTAGATAATAAGATAATAACGATAAGATAGTAATTTAAGATGTACATATTGGTAGACAATAAGAAAAAGAACTAGTACTAAGATAGGATAGGCCACTGAGGCAGGCAAGAAGCCAAAAAGATAACCAAAGATAACCAAGAAAAATAAAACGAAAACACGGACAATAAGAACAGCGAACATACACCGAGTTGGATTTATTTCTTCCCGGACCCTCAGAGCCCTGATCCGCGTGTGCTAAAACAGTGGCCTAAACCGAGCTGGTTGCGTTTTCGAGAAGATTCCTCTGCGCAACTGGACCTTGGTGGCAGCCACGTGCACAGACGTGAAGGCGTGCAAGTACGGGTTTTCTCTCCGCTTGCATAGCTTTCCGTCTCGGTTTCGACCGACGCACACCCATCCCGAAGAGTGGGAGCCTGTCCCAGAACTGGGAACGCTGACTTCTGTCCATGTTTAGAGACGATTCCTCTGCGTGGGCGTGAAACAGCGCCCCAGGCGGCGGGAGTTGACACAGTGGTACGGGCCAATCCCCCCACTGTGCCTCCTCCGGCACGCACGTGACGGCTTTCACTCGTTCGCGTCTGGCCCAAATCCGAGTCCCAAATGCCTGATCTGACCCAAGGCTCACCGCGCGCATCGGCGACTGCGTCCAGATTGCCCGCTTCAACTCGTCCCCGCTTATTTACAAATTCTATTGTAAAGGATCCTGGGGAGACTGAGCTCCATCCCAGCCGTAGAAACATCCTTACAGTCTGGCGCCCGAGCAGGGACGAGCGGAAGACGAGCCGGAGTCCACCAAATTTATGGCATAAAGACCCATAAGTCGCCGCTGGCCGTCGCCGAGCCGCCCGGCCACCCAGAGCGCCCGGCATCGCCACAAAACCACCCCGGCACGCGTGCCGATCACGCCAGCATATATAAATCCTGGCCAGACATCGCTTAGGCCACCAAGGGGGCACCGCGCACACCAGCAGCGACGCTAGGAGCCGCAAACAAGGTCGTCGCACACGTCCGACGCACGCCAGCTCAGTAAAACAGACAGGGTCGTTACACGCGCCAAGCACAAGAAAAACCAGGGTCGCAAAAACCCCGCAAACACGCACGACAATAGGAAAACAATTTTGATACGCACACGACTGCCGCCATAGTTTTGGTTGGGGCTCTCTCTCCTCTATTTGCAACGGGGGACTTTTATCGTTCCGTTTAAACGTGGCCGTCACCAACGACACCACCGATCCTCGCCAAACCTCGGTTCGGCCGCACAGCACCGTCGCCAACCCTTGTCCCGGCCATCGAAGCCGCTGATCCCCACCGGATTTCGGCCAGGACACTCAACGTCGCTCCAGCGTGGTCGTGGACCACCACCGACGCAGTGCAGCTTTGCTAGGCCTCGTTACGACCGCTTCGTGCCACCGCACACATGGTTGTTGGCCATCAACACCGTTCAACATCGCCACTAAGTCTCGTTTCGGCCACTCTACGTCGCCGCCAACGTGGACGTTGGACACCGACGCCAAGGATAAAAGAACTAGACATCAAAGACCACCCGGAAACCCACGCCGGACGACAACCTGGAGGAATTAGTCGTAGCAACCGGATGTGAGGAAAAGCCGGCCACCATGGGCGTTCGCTGGATCTCATATCGCCGAAAAGAGGAACTGGAGGGACTCCTCAAGGATTTCGGATTAGAAACGGCAGGAACGGTAGCCGAGCTGCGAACACGACTAGCCGACTTTATCGGGAAGACAGAGCATGGCCAGACTACGCTGTCTCGACTCGCACAGCTAGAAGCCCTCTATCCCGAGGCACCATCCGCGAAGGAAGTGCAATCACGGTCCACATCCCCAATGCCGGAAGCAGGGGGCATGAAGCTGATCGTACCCGGGCGGTCATCCTCACCAGGACGCATGACCACCAGCGCGGAAGACCAGAACGCAACCACGGCCTCCACTGACCGAGCACCGCGCGATGCCATATCCGCAGCAGTACTGACCGAAAAGCTACGGAGCTGGGGAATCCTCTTCGACGGACAAACGGACCCGGTCCATTTCGTGGAACGAGTCGAGGAAGGAGCAGCCGCCTACAACGTCCGGATGAGCGACGTACCCAGAGCCATCTCCGGATTACTATCTGGAAGAGCGGAAGGCTGGTACCGAGCCTATCGCATGCACTCCGTGCCATGGCTCCTATTTAAGACCGAGTTCTTGGAGTTCTTCCTGCCTCCGAGGTACTTTCAAAGGTTGGAGGACACGATCCGCACCCGGTATCAACAGCCGCAGGAGCCATTCAAGAACTTTCTTGTGGACCTGAGACTCATGATGCAACGCGCGAAGTACACTCTGGCTGACGAGCTCGAAAGGATATATGAGAACTTGTTGCCAGAATATCAGCTCTTTATCCGTCGCCACGAGTTCTCCACCCTCGAAACGCTGACACAGCTCGCCACCGCATACGAGATCGCACGGGATCGGGACTCGATCCGGCACGCCGCCCTCGCCCCCTTCGCCACCATTGGGTCGGACCAAGCACATAGGTCACCATCATACCATAGGACTACGACTGTAAGAGAACCCAAAGCAGTCCCCCTGCCCATCGGGGTTACGAATCACATGATCTCCGACGAGGACAGCCGGCCGGTGGACATTCAGCGTGCCTGCCGGCGCTGCGCAGAGGTAGGCCACTTCGCCAAAGAGTGCACTCGGCCGCCCCGCCTATTCTGTTGGGATTGCGGACGCAGAGGCGTGCGGACAGTAAACTGTTGTCGGCAGTCGGGAAACGGACATCACCCCCGCTCGAATTGGGAGCGACCGGGGACAGCCAGCACACTTCCCAACCCGTAAAGCCACCACTTCGACTGGAGGACGGGCGGATAGTAGCGACGATTAGCATCAACGGACGACCATTTCTGGCCACGCTGGACACTGGAGCGGCGCGCAGCTTCGTAAGCGAGCGAGTGGCCCAAACTCTGGCCACCACCACCAACAGGAGGGCAGTGCGAACACGGATCTCCTTGGCTGACGGCTCCTCTCAAGAAGTCACCAAAGCCGTGTGGGCACGCGTCAAACTGGACCAGCAAGAAGCCGAGCTACCCCTCCTGGTGTTACCCACGATCCTGGACGACGTTATCCTAGGGATCGATTTCTTGTGCGTCATCCAGGCGTCCCTGATCTGTGGTCGCACTTGCTTGCGACTCTTTCCGGCGCCCCCTCGAGATGCAACGACGACAACCGAGCCCGAGACACTGCCTGCAGACCCGACAGCCACGAACCCACCCCGAGCGGGTGTCGTAATCGGTGGACACCCACGGGATCCACTCCAGCAGTCAAGTGACGCCACAGCGTCAGCGGGCTCTCGAGCCATGTCATCGTCGTCCACGGCCTCCACGGCCACCTCATCGTCATCGTCATCATCGCCAAGGGCCACCACGGCCACATCATCGTCATCGTCATCATCGCCAAGGGCCGCCACGGCCACATCGTCCCCGCTGCCGTGTCCAAGGGCCTCCACGGCCACCTCATCGCCATCGTCATCGTCGCCAAGGGCCGCCACGGCCACATCGTCACCGCTGCCGTGTCCAA